TAGCAAAGAGATTCTTATTCCATAACTAAGCTTTACAAGTGTGTAGCCTTAAATGCTAAGTTCTGTCATTACTTGTTTCTCATCACTTGTCTTGTGTGTGTGTGTGTGTGTGTGTGTGTATATATATATATATTATTGCTTTGGGGAAATATTTAAAAGTTTAAACATCAATTTAAATTAATTTTTTGCATTGTAATGAAGGTAATTATAAAGTTACTATACAAATGTTTTTTGTTATGGCACAGGTGGGAACAAGAGCCCAGTCAGAAAGAATACGGACATATAATTTCACCCAGGATAGAGTCACTGACCACAGGATAGCATATGATGTTCGTGATATTAAGGTAATGCTCCTAAATGTAAAGATTGCAGCTCCGGACAGTTCTAATCATGTAGAGCGACTATGACTTAGAATGATTTGATGGCACACAACATCACTGCACATACTTTATATACCTTTGAATTTAAAAGAAAGTATTGTCAAATTTTAGGATAAGCACGGGACTGCAAGGCCATTTGAACTGCAAGGTTGGCAGTTCAAACTCACCACCTGCTCCTTGGGAAACCTATACAGGGGCACTATGAGTCAGAATTGACTCGACAGCACTCAACAACAGTGTGTAAAATGGGCTCTTGGTATGACGCTGTAGGATCAGCTCTGGACTATGAACCACAAGGTCTGCAGTTCAAATCCACCAGCTGCTCCTCAGAAATCCTATATAGGGTTGCTATGAGTCAGAACCAACTGGATGGCACTTAAAACAGCAACATGTCTAAAATATTTCCAAGTTATTTAAAGTCACTAAACCAGTTTATATTAGTCAGTTTATATTATATAATAACATATATATTAATTTGTAGGTAAGAAATAGGTCTTTGTAAAGTTTTGAAGCAAGATTCTTTTATAAGAACAAATTCTTTGTTCTATAATCACAATAAATTAGTATATACTCAGCATATATGTGGAGTCCTGATGTCCGTTCCTTAGAAACTTACCACAAACTTAACAACAATACCATATATCTACACATACATTGTTGTTGTTGTTAGGTGCCTTCAAATCTGTACTGACCCAAAGCGACCTTATGCACAGCAGAAAGAAACACTGACCGATTCTGGGCCAACCTCACTACTGTTGTCACGCTTGAGTCCATCGATGCTGCCACTTAGCCAATCCATCTCGTTGGGGGTCTTCCTCTTTTTCTCTGACTCTGCACCTTACCAAACACAATATCCTTCTCCAGCAACTGGTCCCTCCTGACAGTATGTTCAAAGTATGAGAGACAAAGTTTGGCCATCTTGGCCTCCAAGGAGTACTCTG